AAACTTTGGAGAATATTCAAGCTCACTTTAGAAGATGGGGTTACTGTCAAATAATTACTATAAATTTTCACTTCAGAATGAAATAAACAGTTGTAGCTAATGTTTCTGGAGTTGATAGATTACACCAAGTGTAAAATAGAGAGTAGTGCAGGTATTAGTTTCTTCAATTAAAGAAATGATTGAGTTATTTGTTTAGAAGAATATGAGTCGCCATTACTACATTTTCTTTAATGGTTCAGTAAGTGATTGATACAATATTTTGCCTTTCTAGAAGTATTCTGGTCAAAGCATACTAACTGTAGTTCTTAATATTGTGCAGGTAGCTCACATTTCAATTAGATTATTCCTATTCCTTCAAATGTATCAAATTCTAACTCAGTTAAAAAAAAAGCAGAGTAAAAGGTGCTGTGATGTATGAGCTACCGGTTGTAATTGATGCTCATTATATAAAACAGTCTTCAGGGAAGAAAGTTACTCATCATAAAAGTGAGTGGATAATGAGATTAATATGACAGTCTTACAAATCTTTATGTAATACTCTCTTAAAAGGAAACAAAAGAACTGGAATTCAATTTTGATGTCATAGTTTTATGAAGGCTATAAAAATAGCAATAAAAGAAACTGATTTGTAATTGAAGAAAGGCACCACTATCTCTACTTATTAACTAGAATCTACTATACTAACTGTACCAACTATCTTTAAACACAAAGCTGTGTTTAACTAGTCCCCTTCAAACAAATGCCTGCAGCAAATCAAAGTCTTCCTGTTAAGGACAACTGCATTTTCACAAGGCCTGCATTCAGCTTTATGTATAGCACTGCAGAAGATGCCAGCTGAATTTGTGCCTGTAATGGTGTGACTTCGGTGTAATGCTTCTCCTTCCCTGCTCTGCTCTCACTGATGTTGCATTTACAAGACTCCAGGGGATCAAAATTGACAGAGTAGATCTTTTAGTCACATTCTCTTAAGTAAATGAGTCTGACCCAGTGTTCAGTTCTTCCTTAATTTTTGGCCTGTTGGCCACTTTTGGGTACATTTTGACAGAGGTTTAGATGTCTTGGATATGATTGTTCTCGTAAATTTCCTGAATATGTGCTGCTGGCTAAACCGAGAAATCTATACCAGTGCTCCCTGTGAAGGAAAGGAAGACATCTGAGCTGGATGTCTGTTGCCCTGTTTGGGCTGGTACATAGCTACTCTGTTGGCCACTATTTTGTTCCCTTTTAGTGTATGAATGTTGAGATTATTGTGTTGAAGAGGGATATACAGGAAGAATGGCACAGATATATAAGGAAACACGCTTCAATTGCTTTGGAGCAAATTATAAGAAAAAGTAATCTGAGAAATAGGACAACTTAAGAGTCTTCTGAACTTGATCAGATGAGCAAGATGAGAGGATAAAAAGCATAAGGCTTTTTCACCCATAAGCATATTTCTAGGTCTCAATTTATTGGGATGAAGTAGTAGATGGACGGACAAAGTAAAGATTAATGTAGTAGGAAGATTCCTACTTTTTTTTCCCCTGCTTCCTAAATAACATGTATTTGCAAAGATATCCTCCCTGAAAACATTCTCTGGAGATGAAAACCTCTTATTGCTGGCACCTGATCATCTTACTCTTGTGGATCTGGATAACAACTCCATGATCCAAGACTTTATGCAAAAGTTAACATGATGTTTATCTTGTCCAAGTCCCATCATAGAGGACGCTCCGGCTTGCTCCTCTGCTGGGTGGAGCTGAATGTTGTGTTTAAATCAATGGGGGACTAGTGATAACATTGTATTTCTTACACAGAGGACTTTCTATGTAACATGTGAAACTCTGGAGAAGTTAGTATTGATACAGGTAGAAGCCAGTCACTCAAGACAGGCAACAGTTTTACAACTCCAACTAGGAGTTTGTTGCTACATGATCTTAATTATGTAAGATGATCTTAGATATTTAGCTACTTACTCTTCTTTCTCCTGAGCAGATTTCTAGACTGTTGGACAAGATGCCATTGCTGATGCTAATATGAATTATAATTCTTACTCCTGCAGTTCTGATTTAATCTAGTTGCTCCTTAACCTGGCTCTACAAAAATGATCCTGGGTCCAACTGGAAGCTTGCCATCAAATGGAGTACAGAATTGTGGGGGTGGTTATCTGCAAGCAGACAATAAGGAGCTGTAGGAGCTTGGAGAGCTGCTTACTTTGGTGGAGCAACCACTGAGATTCACTTGTTTGTGCCCTTATCTGCCCAAGCGTGTTGGAAAAGGGCAGTTTCCTAGGAGTTTATCTGCAGCAGAGGTGAGGAGTGATCCATAGCATGGTGGTTAGACAATGCTCTCACCCTCCTGAGTGAAGATATGGCAGTATGTTGTTGAACCAGTTAAGCTTTCACTTCCCTTCCAGCTTGTTGGACTACACAAATAACTGTTCAAAAATAAATTTTCATATATGTCATCAGCTGTATTGCTGAGTGGGGATTACCAATGGGTGTGGTAAAAATATGACCTGTATAAATGGATAATACAGCTATTGACAATACCCTGCTTGGCTCTGTGCGAACCTCTCTGCTGCAGTGTGACATAGGATTCCACTCTAGGATAAGCCTGTGTTTGTCTTTGGATCCCACAGTACACGTAATATGAAAGTATGCTTTTTTGAGCTCCGTACAACAGGGTTCTTGCCATAGTCTCAGTTTTATGATAATTGTGAAGTAGGGCAATTCAGAAACTAGATATGACCCAAATTAATACTACTTATGAAAATAAGTCAGGCTATATAAATTAAGTGTAGAAAAATTTACTTTGCATGAAATTTCATCTCAAGTGCTTTACTATTAAAATTGGCATCTATGTTCCTCTCTGCTTTTGGAAGCAGACTGAAACAGATAGAAGTATGTGGCAGTAGCTTATAACTTAGCACTTTCAAGGTCTTTCTCCTCCCTGGTAGAATACTTACTCTGAAGCAGTCTCTCTGGATTGAGTGTTGTTTGCACAGTATCAGACTGTGCTTGCTTTGTAACTTATTTTTCTCTCTTTTCACATTGTCTACCATTCAGCAGGCGTGAATTTTGCCAGCATTATATCTTTATTGGATTGTGAAGAACCTGAGAGCAAATTAACCTCCCTGAGCTTCCTCCCACTACAAAATGCGGCAGAGTATGACAAACTTACCTTTAAGAAGTCTGTGGTAGCATGAAGTTTTGCTGTCTTCAGTATCTTACTGGAATGTTGTTCACTGACAGTTATTGATGACTTGGGATACTGCTTTGACTGGTTGGGTCAGGTTTTTTTAATTCCAAATTTTGTTCTTTGACTCAATCTCTTATGTGTCTTTGAAAGGTGTTACCAAGGCTTCTGAAAATGATTGGCTGCCATAAAATTTTTCTGGTTAAAGAATTTTCAGGGAAAAGGAGCATCGTCACTAACTTGATTATTTATAAGGATCTTACTGGTTGGACATAATCGTTGTTTTGGCTTTTCAAGTATGTGTCAACTGTTGCACAAAGTACAAAAAGTGGGACCTTCTCTTTGTCACACTGGGACGCTATTTGTTGAAGTGCAACTTCCAGTAAACTGTGAATTTTCATGTTGCTCAATCTACTTAGACTGTAGGTTAATTTATAACAAATATTACAGTGAAACATTACTATTGTGTATTTGAATTTTTTCACAGATCATAGTATTGATTTTGCACAAACTCACCTGTTAAAGGTCCTGC